GAATGTGGTTCGGTTGGGCAACGCGTCGCGGGTCCGAGATGACGTGATGGAAGTTAGTGACGACGTCCTGACGCGCGACGTCAGGACTGTGGCCGACTTGGAAGCCCTGTATGCATCTAAGGTTTGTATCTCTAAAAAAAGAAATTCTGAAGCTTTTCCTTATTTCTTTTTAAATCACATTTTTGGAACTCGATAACTGGAATTTTCTTGAGTCTAAATTTGTCCTGTGTCAAATTTTGTTTTTGACCCAGTCTGAATTGAGTCTCGAAACTTCAAAGACTGGTTAAAAAAAAAAATTCAACGTAGGAAAAATTTCGCAAAACGTGTAATTAAAAAAAGAAAAGCAATAGTTCTTTTTTATTCTAAAGGGAAAAAAGCTGTTGCCTTTCTTCATTTAGAGAAAAGAAGAAAGTGAAAGTGATTCTCTCTTTGAATCATAGTTCTGCCGTATATTCTGAGTGTTCATGATTTTTTATTACCTATATAGACAATAAAAGTACCCTGTGTTCCATTTATATCTTATCGGTTCTGAGCTTTTTCCGGTTCTGAAGAGACCAAGTCAGTCGTGATGTCCAGAAAAATTATATCCATCCCCTCTTGTGTATGTGATCTCTCTTTTTTGTTTTTAAATATTTTGTTAGACCGTCGTTGCGACAACGTGTCTCAGCTTGGCTCATCCAATGTTTGCCAGAGGCAGGAAATTTGACGTTTGCATCATAGACGAAGCAGCGCAAGCCCCTCAACTTGCTGCAATTGGCCCGCTATTCTTTGCTGAAAAATTCGTTTTGGTCGGTGATCCTCATCAGCTGCCTCCTGTGGTCGTCAGTGACTCTGCCAAGTTAGTTTTACATTTTTATGCATGTTTTTTTGTGTGTATGTGTGGGGATATTTTGAATGCTTTGTACGGTTTTGAACGGCTTTCGCCTGTGACATGGGGTGGATAGAAAATTGGGAAAAGTGTACGACCGTATTCAATCGGATGAAAGAGTAACTTCTCGCCAAAAATTTTTCCGAAATGATCGGGGTGTGTGTCAGGTGTTCTGTGGAATCTTGGATCCGCAATTTAATTGCTGTAAATATATGGTCGTTTATGATCATGACCTAAGTACAGTAGAATGAACAAAGTCTTCTGATTGGGGAGAGACATTTCTGACGAATGTGATCGGAAGGGCGTCTTTTATTTGCGGGTGAATTTATTTCCATTCCTTGAGGCGCAAAAATAATGTGCATCTTGAAAAAAAAAATTGTTCCTCATGATAATTTTAAAAATGGTCTCATTGGATTGTCTGCTTTGCTTTAAATTTTGAAATTAGATAATGAGTAAATCCTTTAATCACCTGTCTTAAGCATGAAAAAAATAACTGTATTTTTTCTTGCTAAAAATCTAGTCAAGATTCAGTATTCAAGTTATGTTCTCTTGTATGTAAGAAAATTTTCGTGATTTCAAAGTTTTAAAATTTTAAAGTATGAATATAGAGAAGCTAAGTGTAAGTGTAACTTGGTACATTGCAGCGTTTCTCAGTAACTCAAAGTAAAAAAAAATTGACATTTCGGCAGTAAATTCAACCCTCGATTAATGGCCAAACGATTCTGCAAAAAATTCTGTTCACCGCGCCTGCTTTACCTATGGAATGCGTCCTCAACTGAATTTATTTTGATACGATACCCTCGATTTAGTGCCAAAAAATTTGCCAGGACAAAGATGGCACTAAATCGGGGGTTTGACTGTATTCGCGTACTTTAATAGAGTTTCTGTTGCAAGAGATGCTTGGAAATGGTCTAAAGCGCGTTTTTATGCTAACTAAAACATATTTTGTAAAACACGATTAATAAACATTAAAGACTTTGATCAAGCTTAATTGTGAGAAGGTCCAAAAGTGCTTCAATTTCCCAAGTCCAAGTTGTGTCCCATTCACCATTTTATGATACAATGTTTACTAAAGTTCCTGTTATGTGTTTTTGGCGTTTCAGGCCAGTGATCAAAGGTACTCTGCGTTATTTTATACAGTATCTGACGAAACCTTGTGAGCAAAAGTGCTTTCCGCTCTCGTTGGTAAATAATGGGTTAATGATTTCTATTCCGAACGATCAGGAAATGACTCGGAAATGTTCTCCTTTTTGCAAAGGTTGCTCCCCTCTTTTTTTTTTTTTAAAGCCGAATATGGAAAGGTTTTTGGAGGGTAACGAGGCGAACTCTGGTAATTTGCATTTCGCAACAGCAAAAGAAATGGTGTACTTTGTGTGCATTGAGTCATTTGCACGAATGTCTTCATCCGCGAACC